CCCCGCAGGGGCTGTGAAGCACTGGAAGGGGCTGCCCAGGGCAGGGGTCGAGCCCCCATCCCTGGGGGTATTTAAAAGCTGGGCAGCCGAGCTGCTTAGGGCCAGGGTTTAGTGGTGGGATGGCAGGGTCAGGGTAACAGTTGGGCTTGGTGATCTTAAAGGGCTTTTCCAACCCAAACGATTCTGTGATTCTATGAAAAAGTTTGCTGAAGCAGTGGTGTGATGGCCGGCTCTGTTGGTAGCGCGGCCCATGCTTCATCAGGTTACCTGGGTCTGGCTCGCAGCCGGGTCAGGGTGTGTCGAAGTTTCAGGTGTGCTGGGGAGTTTCTATGGTGTTCAGCAAGGTGAGATCTTCTGATGTTGCAGCACGTTTGCAAGTTCAGTTTCGGTGCTTGAAATGCAGCAGCCAAATGAAGCTCACTTCCGCCCACAGGAGCCAGAGCCTGTAAATCAAGCGAGACTGAGGAGGTGTCCAGCGATCTCAGACAGGGAGCAACGTGCTTTTTGGAAACTACCTCTGGCTAGAGGCGGGGCAGCCCTGCAGACGGCCTCTTCGCTGTGAGGAACAGGTCCCACAAAGCAAGAAGCGCAGGGCTTTGATTGCTGTGGGAAAGGCTGAGCTCCGTGATAGGAAAAGACTGCGGAGAGCCACAGACTCGGCCACGCCTGGGGCTTGCTCCTGCCCGCTTTGTGTGGAACCCAGCACAAATGGGTCAGCAGGGCTGACGCAGATGAATCCTTATGCTCTGGTCTTGACCCTCCTGGGATCCTCAGCTTTGCACGTCTTCTGCGGTGGCGCGTGGCACATCAGATTGAAGGCATAGCCGCATTCCAAGAGGGGTCCCAGTCACCAGATACAAATTTGTGCTCAACCGCCTGAGTCACATCAGGGAAGGGATGGCAGAAGGTCGGAGGGGTTTGAGTTTCAAGGCATCCCAGCTGCTGGCAGCCTCACTCCATTGGGCTATCGGGCCCCGAGCGCTTCAGGCTGGCTGGCCTCCTGGTTTTTATCGAGAAACAAATTGAGGCTGGTGGGGTGAGGAGAAGGAATCTCCTCGTTTGTATAAGCAGAAGCCAAAAAATTCATGGGAAAATTCCCATGTGGAAACAGAGGAGCTCACAAGTTTTGTGAAGATAGCTCAGCGTGTCCTACCAAATGAGTAAACAAACACACCCTGAGAGCAAATGCAAAACATCCTCAAAGCAGACGCTGTGCTGCATATTTACCAGCTGCATATTTATTGAAAAGGGGAAAGGCACCAACAGTAAAACGCTTTGTTCCGAGCATGCCCACTCTTGTGCCTTGCAGTTTGCTGTTCCCCCATTGTTTTAATGGTTTTGATTCTTTCTTTTTACTTTTAAGAAGCTTTTCCATATGGGAGAGCCCAATGCGCAGGTCACACTGCTCCTGTATTGGTACTTGCTCCAAGTTCAGAGCTTTTTCCCCTGAAGAGGACACGCGGTTTGGCTCTCCAGTGCTATTTCAGCGAAGCAGTTGGGGAAGTTTATACCCAGAGCGAGAAAACTGGTTTTACTCTTCTTTTCTCGCCCAGCAAATAGTCTCAGGCTGCCTACTTTGTCTCCTTCAAAATACAGGAAAACTGCTGCGGGAATGGTGG